ATTAATGAGTATCTAAACTAAGAATAGTAATACAATTAATGAGTAGAAGAAAGCTATAATAGCACCTGCAAATTCAAGGAATGTTTAACAGTAGAGGAAACGTACAGGTATTGAGGTAGTAAAATTAAAAAAATGGACAGCAGAAGTCACAACCTGGACATACTAAATCAAATATAACATGAGCACCAATAATTACAAATATCTAAAGCATTTTCAAACATAACTTCTTTTGTCATTGGCACAAGATGTAAAAAAAAATTGAAGCTTTATAAAAATACAGTTCAACTTAAATATGTGTAATGTCAAAAAGTTATACATTTAGAAGGCATTTACAACACCTGTTAAATATAGGGAATGGTTACTGTTAATAGTTAAAGGGAGATAACATTTTTGGAATCAAAGTAAAAAGATGTCATGTATTGCTATTAGTATTCACAACCTGAACAAATATGAAACATAAACTGAACACCAGGTCTCATAAATATCTAAAGTATTTTTTAAACAATACTTACTACATAACAAATGACTGTCATTGGCACATGGTATCATTTAAAATAGGTACTATCAAAATTATTTTTAGTCAAAACCTGAACATAAGCTTTAAATATATACATGAAACCTGAGCATTAGTAATTATACACATATCTAACTACATAACACATTTTTGTTAATGGTATATAGTATAAACTTACTTTTTAACTTTAATACATATCTTGAAAATCTTGGTGTGTTAAAAAGTTATAATTTAGATAGGCATTGCCTGCTGTCCAAGTTCCATCAAATCATTTGATTTAATCAAATACTTTGAAAGGAAAAAATAATTAAAAATAGGTACTATCAAAATAAGTTTTTTAGTCTCAACCTGAAAAATATATACATCAAACCTAAGCATTAGTAATTACTTCCATTAGTATATCAAAATGGAAAAAATATCAAAACATGAAATCAAATGTTGCCTTGAAGGGACAACAGATAATTACTGGATTAATGGTGGCATTCTGTGTATCACTGTTTCCATTGATAACATCGATCTGTTTCTGAGTCGTGTAGAAGGACAAATGAAGTATCTGGGGAACAGTTGCCTTTTATCATTCTTTTGACCTTTCCCAGCTAGCACTGGGCTATCGAGTCAACGTCGGACCGATATATATCGGCCCATGCAACAATTGTTTATAACGTGACGGACACTGTCTGTTTTCCACGACATTTCCGTTTTCCATAAACGTACTGCAGGCTTTCAGGTTAAAAAAGTCTTCAGTTATTTGTAAACTCTTTATAGGGATCGCCATCCTACATGAGCTAATCCTAAGGACGAGGTACCTATCCTATCTCACCATATAGGAATCGCTATCCTACATGACCTAATCCTAAGGACGAGGTTACTATCCTATCTCACCATATAGGAATCGCTATCCTACATGACCTCATTCTTAGGACGAGGTTACTATCCTATTTCATCATATAGGAATCGCCATCCTTCATGACCTCATCCTAAGGACAAGGTTACTATCCTATCTCACCATATCGGAATCGCTATCCTACATGCCCTAATCCTAAGGACGAGGTGCCTATCCTATCTCACCATATCGGAATCGCCATCCTACATGAACTCATTCTAAGGACGAGGTTACTATCCTATCTCACCATATAGG